AGAGTGAATGAGCGGCAGGAGAAGAAAAGGAAGAGAGATGAGTCTCCTGCCACTGGGAGAAAGTGCGGGTTCTGCAAACTGCAGCTGAAGCAGGGACCAAACAGTCCTCACATTCATACACAATTCCCTGGTCTGTCAGGAAAATACATCTACTGCCCTGCCAAAGTATTCTCCCTGTACAAGGACCAGGGGATGAAGACGCAGATGTTCCAGCAGTCTCCTTTTTATGACCGGGAGAGGGAAAGGTGGCGTGTAAATAAATTAGCTATCTGCTGTCTATTGGTGCTATTGTATATAGTTTCTATATTATACCTGTCTGTTCATAAATGTTTATAAATATTCTAATTATTATGTAAATATATACTTAATATTGATTATATCTAATTATATAATTTCATTTGTAAAGTCTGCATCTACAGTTTTGTATAGTCAGCTCTCAGCCGTCACAGTCACAGGGCTCATCACACAAATACTAGTTTAAGAAGATAAAGATAGCATGTTGTTGTTTTTCTTCTAAGTGTATTTCTTAAATTTGTAAATATCTCTTTTTTCATCTGTTCACAATAAATATATAATAATGTCATACATTATTGAAGTCTTTCTTTTTATTGATCATATTTCAGGGCAAACAGTAGTATTTGACAAAACAATCTGTATAGAAAATAGAGTTTCAGTTCAGTGCCAATCAACGATATGCCCACTATACGCGGCTGGCCCCCGCGGCCCGACCTTGCCTAGCTTCCGAGATCAGACGAGATCGGGCATTCTCAAGGTGGTATGGCCGTAAGCACGGGGGTATGGAGCAGCGTGCCTCCTGACCCTGCTGCTGCGGTCCTCTCCTCCCCCAGAATGAGCGCTCAGGCCTGGGTCTGAGCGGGAGCAAAGCCCTCCCCGGTGATAGTCCAGAACCGGAGGAGTGCGTGGGTGAAAACCCCGTGTCTCTAGCACCCCTGGTTCGTTTTTGACAAGCCCTGGAAGCCAAGGTTCTCCTCCCCCAGAATGAGCGCTCTTGGGCGGATGGTAGACGCGCGGTCCCCCGGTGGTTTCCAAGGTCCTTACTTTCTGGTCCTTTATCCCCCGCGCGTCAAATTCACACCGCGGGTAGGACCAGGGGAGTCCCACCCCCTTCCGCGAGGTCTCTTCTCTCTTCCGGTGTCGCAAATAATAATAAAACGAAATAATAGTAATGCCATAATTCTTTTGAGAATTTTAAACAACTAGAGCCAAAACAAACACATTGATATTGAAGAATCCGTGTATCATTCGTTCTTTTGATTTTCTAAATAAAACCAACATTGAAAAAACGAATAACAAGGGATGTTTTTGATTCTCAATATTTGAATTTAATGCAAAGTTGAAATATTGGTTTGTTTTTTGTTTTCTGTGGATCCAATTAAAACGAAAATGCAGTAAACCAATAATGATAGTCTAAATTACATTTTGCGATTTTCCTTTGAAACACAAACGTCCCCCGGAAGTGATTCGAAAGTGCGAGTTTGTCACGAGAACAGGAAGTGTCGCCTCCAGGTACTTGGATCGCACCTTGTTAGCGCTGGTTGTAGGAGAAATGTCTCTTAAAACTCTCCTCAACATCAGTCAGATTACCAGCTTTTTCGTTCGCTGCTGCAGAGACCATCGCAGATGAGAATTCTCAGATTCACGAGAGAAGTGTTTTCTTCGATTAAAAATATATACACAAGTGTCAAGGTAAGACATAACTTAGCAACTAGCGCTAACAGCTAAGTTAGCGTTAGCTACGACACATTTAGCTTAAGCACATACATGAAACACTTACACATGTAACAAATGCACCTAATGCGAGTGCTTTATTATTATAAATGTATGTTATAGACTTTCATATTATATAAGAACATGATATGTTTGTGTATTGGTGAAAGTAATCATGCTAAATTTTAGTAAATAAAAGATGATGCTAGATGTACCTTAACCATTCAATTGTGCTTTGTTTCTGCTTCATTCTCAATTATTGTCGAGGGACAGTAGTTAGAGCTAAATGCTTCAGGCTTATGAAGAGAAACTAGGAGCCCTCAGACTGCCAGTTTTGAAACAGTCAGAAAGACTGCAGGTTTGAAACAGTCAGAAAGACTGCAGGTTGGAAACAGTCAGAAAGACTGCAGCTTTGAAACAGTCAGAAAGACTGCAGGTTTGAAACAGTCAGAAAGACTGCAGGTTTGAAACAGTCAGAAAGACTGCAGGTTGGAAACAGTCAGAAAGACTGCAGGTTTGAAACAGTCAGAAAGACTGCAGGTTTGAAACAGTCAAAGACTGCAGGTTTGAAACAGTTAGAAAGACTGCAGGTTTGAAACAGTTAGAAAGACTGCAGGTTTGAAACAGTCAGAAAGACTGCAGGTTTGAAACAGTCAAAGCCGCTGGGCTCATGTTCAGCTTGAGTTCCTGTCCTGATACATGACTAGCATAGCATCTTTCTGTTTGGTGGTTACTATTTCTCTTCTGACTTTATAAGATAGTTAAGTTATAACAAGTAATAATTATATGTCTGTTCTAAACCCACTTTTCTGTTTTAGATCTCACTGGGTGTGCAGCAGGTAAAGGTTCAGACTTCACAACTACTCCCAGCCTTGGCCTGTACCAGTGATCTGCAAAGCTCTCCAGCTGGTCCTGGCCTGTACCAGTGATCTGCAAAGCTCTCCAGCTGGTCCTGGTCTGTACCAGTGATCTGCAAAGCTCTCACGCTGATCCTGGTCTGTACCAGTGATCTGCAAAGCTCTCCAGCTGGTCCTGGCCTGTACCAGTGATCTGCAAAGCTCTCACGCTGGTCCTGGTCTGTACCAGTGATCTAGCTCTCCAGCTGGTCCTGGCCGGTACCAGTGATCTGCAAAGATGGATGTGTTTATGTCAATGCAATAAAATTAATAACTGATCTACAAATCTCCTTTTTGTTCCTTTACATTTTAAACTTTCAACTCGTGTTTATCATTGTAAATTTATGTTACAAAATTAGAATCATTGCATGAAAAAGCACGTACTCATCAGTGTACATTATGTTCTGTCACATTTGAAAGTGTAAAAACTGTTCTTAAATCCAGTTGTCCTGGTCTTAATGGGCATTACACACGCAGTGACCTCACAGATAGAGATGTAAACTGTATGGTCAATCTAACATGCTGGTTATGAAGTCTAACGTACTCTGTGAATGTAAAAACCTCCTTGTTCCAGTCTTTTTGGGCTCCTTTATTCACAGACCAACTGTGGCGGAGCTACAAGCAGTCAGTCTGCAGAGGTTAACAGTTTCCTATGACTCAGTGAGGATGCTGCTGAAGATCCCAGACACAGTCGTCCAGTCAGATGTTTGTGCAGGTGCGCTCCTTTCCTACGTCACTGCTACTATCGGTTCATGTGTAGAGTCATGATGGTACCTAATAGTATTGTACAGTCCCTGGTTTGCCCTTACATCAGCTCAGTCAGGGTCACTTCTAAACTTTGGAGTCACTGGCTTCTTTGTATGTGTGACTTGCTGTAAATATGTGATTATGTGTCTTTTTAACAGTTTTTTTATTTTTTATTCTTTCATTCTTAGCTCTGGATTCTGTGCTTGCATGTAAGTCCTTAGTAAAGTCTAAATAAAATTGGACCCTTGTTGCTGCTGAAAGGAAGTCTGAGGTGTAAGTTGTTCTGTAAAGGTACATTCAAATACACAACTTGTCATTTTACAGTCTTGTTTAGTTAAGAATGTCATTTCCTAATTCATAAATCTATTGATACATAATCCACTAACAGTTAGTATTTGTTTTAACGGGTTTTCCATTGCGATTCAACACAATTTAGAAAAAAAATGTACAGAATTGTGTCCAAGTGTGTTTTAATTTGGGAACAAACAAATCAAAAATATTTACACTGGAACAGACACACAGAAGATTTACATTCATGATGAATTTAGTCTTTGGCCTTCATAATTTGCCAAAACACAACAAGCTGTGATTCCTGAGCCTCGGGAGACAGAATCCCTCTTGAATGTTGCAATAAAATTATTCCAGGAAAAAGAGATGGAGCAGCAATAGTTTTAAGGCGGCTGATATGTAAAAATATATATATATGTATGTATATATTGGGCAGGAACATGATCCATGTTTAATGAATACATTTACTCAGAATACCTTTCTGTGAGCCCTATACGATGAAATAACGCCACTTCAAAAAGTTTGCTTTCGTGATTAACCACTGTATCAAAAAGAAGGGACATGACTCAGCTGATGACTTGACATTTGGACAAACCTAGTCGGTGTAACGTGGTTGATATTTCTGCATATGTTTGAATGTTTTAGAAGCATTCTATCGCTGTATCTGCAAAGTCTTCCAACGCACCCATCATTTAGTTCATCTCCACCGCTACTCCACTGTTTACCTGCGGGGTGCGCACTTGCGAATCACTTCCGGGGGATTCTTGTGTTTCAAATGGAAATCGCAAAAAGTAATTTAGACTATCATTATTGGTTTACTGCATTTTCGTTTTAATTGGATCCACAGAAAACCAAAAACAAACCGATATTTCAATTTTGCATTAAATTCAAATATTGAGAATCAAAAACAATTCGTGTATCATTCGTTCTTTTGATTTTCTAAATAAAACCAACATTGAAAAAACGAATAACAAGGGATGTTTTTGATTCTCAATATTTGAATTTAATGCAAAATTGAAATATTGGTTTGTTTTTTTTGTTTTCTGTGGATCCAATTAAAACGAAAATGCAGTAAACCAATAATGATAGTCTAAATTACATTTTGCGATTTTCCTTTGAAACACAAACGTCCCCCGGAAGTGATTCGAAAGTGCGAGTTTGTCACTAGAACAGGAAGTGTCGCCTCCAGGTACTTGGATCGCACCTTGTTAGCGCTGGTTGTAGGAGAAATGTCTCTTAAAACTCTCCTCAACATCAGTCAGATTACCAGCTTTTTTGTTCGCTGCTGCAGAGACCATCGCAGATGAGAATTCTCAGATTCACGAGAGAAGGGGTTCTTCGATGAAAAATATATACACAAGTGTCAAGGTAAGACATAACTTAGCAACTAGCGCTAACAGCTAAGTTGGCATTAGCTACGACAAACATGAAACACTTAGCGTTACACATGTAACAAATGTACCTAATGTGAGTGCTTTATTATTATAAATGTACGTTATATACTTTCATATTATATAAGGACATGATATGTTTGTGTATTGGTGAAAGTAATCATGCTAAATTTTAGTAAATAAAAGATGATGCTAGATGTACCTTAACCATTCAATTGTGCTTTGTTTCTGCTTCATTCTCAAATATTGTCGAGGGACAGTAGTTAGAGCTAGATGCTTCAGGCTTATGAAGAGAAACGAGGAGCCCTCAGACTGCCAGTTTGAAACAGTCAGAAAGACTGCAGGTTTGACACAGTCAGAAAGACTGCAGGTTTGAAACAGTCAGAAAGACTGCAGGTTTGACACAGTCAGAAAGACTGCAGGTTTGACACAGTCAGAAAGACTGCAGGTTTGAATCAGTCAGAAAGACTGCAGGTTTGAATCAGTCAAAGCCGCTGGGCTCATGTTCAGCTTGAGTTCCTGTCCTGATAGAAGACTAGCAGAGCATCTTTCTGTTTGGTGGTTACTATTTCTCTTCTGACTTTATAAGATAGTTAAGTTATAACAAGTAATAATTATATGTCTGTTCTAAACCCACTTTTCTGTTTTAGATCTCACTGGGTGTGCAGGAGGTAAAGGTTTCAGACTTCACACTACTCCCAGCCTTGGCCTGTACCAGTGATCTGCAAAGCTCTCCAGCTGGTCCTGGCCTGTACCAGTGATCTGCAAAGCTCTCCAGCTGGTCCTGGCCTGTACCAGTGATCTGCAAAGATGGATGTGTTTATGTCAATGCAATAAAATTAATAATAACTGATCTCTACAAATCTCCTTTTTGTTCCTTTACATTTTAAACTTTCAACTCGTGTTTATCATTGTAAATTTATGTTACAAAATTAGAATCATTGCATGAAAAAGCACGTACTCATCAGTGTACATTATGTTCTGTCACATTTGAAAGTGTAAAAACTGTTCTTAAATCCAGTTGTCCTGGTCTTAATGGGCATTACACACGCAGTGACCTCACAGATAGAGATGTAAACTGTATGGTCAATCTAACATGCTGGTTAGGAAGTCTAACATGTGTTCTGTGAATGTAAAAACCTCCTTGTTCCAGTCTTTTTGGGCTCCTTTATTCACAAACCAACTGTGGCGGAGCTACAAGCAGGTCAGTCTGCAGAGGTGAACAGTTTCTCAATGAGGACACTGCTGAAGATCCCAGACACAGTCGTCCAGTCAGATGTTTGCTGAATGCAGGGTGCGCTCCTTTCCTACGTCACTGCTACTATCAGTCATGTGTAGAGTCATGATGGTACCTAATAGTATTGTACAGTCCCTGGTTTGCCCTTACATTAGCTCAGTCAGGTTCACTTCTAAACTTTGGAGTCACTGGCTTCTTTGTATGTGTGACTTGCTGTAAATATGTGATTATGTGTCTTTTTAACACAGCTTTTTTTTTTTTTTTTTATTTCATTCTTAGCTCTGGATCCTGTGCTTGCATGTACGTCCTTAGTAAAATCTAAATAAAATTGGACCCATGTTGCTGCTGAAAGGAATTCTGAGGTGTAAGTTGTTCTAAAGGTACATTCAAATACACAACTTGTCATTTTACAGTCTTGTTTAGTTAAGAATGTCATTTCCTAATTCATAAATCTATTGATACATAATCCACTAACAGTATTTGTTTTAACGGGTTTTCCATTGCTATTCAACACAATTTAGAAAAAAATTTTACAGAATTGTGTCCAAGTGTGTTTTAATTTGGGAACAAACAAATCAAAAATATTTACACTGGAACAGACACACAGAAGATTTACATACATGATGAATTTAGTCTTTGGCCTTCATAATTTGCCAAAACACAACAAGCTGTGATTCCTGAGCCTCGGAGACAGAATCCCTCTTGAATGTTGCAATAAAATTATTCCAGGAAAAAGAGATGGAGCAGCAATAGTTTTAAGGCGGCTGATATGTAAAAATATATATATATGTATGTATATATTGGGCAGGAACATGATCCATGTTTAATGAATACATTTACTCAGAATACCTTTCTCTGAGCCACTTCAAAAAGTTTGCTTTCGTGATTAACCACTGTATCAAAAAGAAGGGACATGACTCAGCTGATGACTTGACATTTGGACAAACCTAGTCGGTGTAACGTGGTTGATATTTCTGCATATGTTTGAATGTTTTAGAACCATTCTATCGCTGTATCTGCAAAGTCTTCCAACGCACCCATCATTTAGTTCATCTCCACCGCTACTCCACTGTTTACCTGCGGGGCGCGCACTTGCGAATCACTTCCGGGGGATTCTTGTGTTTCAAATGGAAATTGCAAAAAGTAATTGAGACGATCATTATTGGTTTACTGCATTTTCGTTTTAATTGGATCCACAGAAAACCAAAAACAAACCGATATTTCAATTTTGCATTAAATTCAAATATTGAGAATCAAAAACATCCCTCGTTATTTGTTTTTTCAATGTTGGTTTTATTTAGAAAATCAAAAGAACGAATGATACAACAGAAAACCAAAAACAAACCGATATTTCAATTTTGCATTAAATTCAAATATTGAGAATCAAAAACATCCCTCGTTATTTGTTTTTTCAATGTTGGTTTTATTTAGAAAATCAAAAGAACGAATGATACACGGATTAGAGAGGTACTTGATTTGAAAAAAAAAAAACGACGCAAGCTCCCTCCCCCTTCCTTTCTGATTGGCCTACGTTTCCGTAACACTTTTAAATGTTAATCAGAGAACACATTATACATATACATTATTAATACACATGCACGGAGATTTTCAGAATTATTTGGAGAAAGGGCAGGCTCCTTTTGTGGCACCGGCACCTGCCACAGCTGATCAGTGGCATGTACACAACAAATGGCGTTTAAAACGGCATGTGGACAACAAGTGGCGTTTAAAACGGCATGTGGGGAATAAATGGCGTTTAAAACGGCATGTGGACAACAAGTGGCGTTTAAAACGGCATGTGGGGAATAAATGGCGTTTAAAACGGCATGTGGACAACAAGTGGCGTTTAAAACGGCATGTGGACAATAAATGGCCTGTAAAACGGCATGTGAGAGTCATAACTCTGTGAAAACTGACTCTTTTTGAACGCTTTAAAGATCAAACCAGAGCTTAGACTCTCATCCATAGGCTGCATGTATCTGTTCATACTGTACCTCTACTTTGAGCCCGTTTTTCACTCTTTTCTTTTCTGCGGCGTTTATTGGCTGCACTTGACGTCTTGGACTGTTTTTTCATAATACATTTGACTAAAACATTTTTAATACAGTTGGACTGAGAGCACAGTCCTGTATTTCTCATACAGCAGAACAAAACAAACAAGATACAGATGTTTGATATTAAAAATACAGTTTTAAAGTAGGACCCTCAAACCTCTCCTGTGTCTACTGAGGTGTTATGATTGGCAGCCTCATCACTGGATGTCCTTCTGGTCAAACGCGTCTATATCCATCCATCCATCCATTTTCTTCCCCTTAATCCATTTCTGGGTCGGGGGGGTGGCAGTCAGAGCTGCACCCAGTACACTCAGCACCAGCCCCTCACTGATCCTCCTGCAGGTGGTGAGTCCACAGGAGCTGAGATCTTTCAGTGGGAGCTTCAGGCAAAGTGGGGTTAAGTGTCTTGCCCAACGACACAACAACAGTAGTCATCAGTGGGAGTAGGTCTTATGGTGGGCTTGAACCCACGACCTTCAGGCCCAAAGGCCAATACTCTACCAACTGAGCTACTGACGCGTCTATATCCACAGCAGGCTAGGGTAACCTTGAGGATCAGCGTCATCACGTCTTCTGTGTCCCCGGGTTACCGAGAACCAGCCCCTCTGCCCAAATCTGCAACAGCTGCTTTGTCCAACAAGTCTGACAGTTTGATGACGCACAATGACCCTTGCCAAAGAGGCGACGCGACAGAGAGCGAGGCATAGACTGGAAACCCGAGCTCGCCATGCTGCTCTTGGGCTGCGTCAACACTTTAATAAACTCCAACAAAGACTGCCGACCTGACCTCACATGTGCAATAAACTGAACTAAAGTCAGAACATGCAGTGTAGAACCACATGTGTTGCTTTCACTTTACTGACTCAAAAAGTGACTCAGTAAAGTGAAAGTAACACATGTGGTTCTACACTGCATATTCTGACTTTAGTGCTACTTACATACGACTAATATTACTTGCTCTATCAAATATTTTATACTGGCTTCTTCATTATGTTAAAGTTGGAGATTTTAGACGTCTTTCCGTATAATGCTAAAGACAGAGATTTAATACTGCTTTTTTATGCTAGAAGATTTCATTGTCTTTTAGTATAGAGTTTTCATTCATTAATCTTGTGCTGTGTGCTCCTCATTCCTACCATCTGTAACTTGTGATGCAACACTGAAATTTCCCCACTGTTGGACAAATGTAGGATCTCTTAATCTTAATTATCTTGCACTTGTATTGAAATTGTTTCAGTTGATCGATTTCACATTGTCAATTTTTTCCTGCACTTTTTAGTCTGTTTTATTCCTGTACTTTTAACCTTGTTTTAGATTAGATTCAACTTTATTGTCATTACAATATAGTATATAATTATTCATGTACTTTCCTTGTACACACTGGGGACTTTTGCACACATATTCCCGTATCAGTTTTCTAAAAATGGCAAATAAGAACACATGAATCAGAGAAGGACTGTGAAGATGAAATTAAAAAATATATATAAAACTATGGAGTCTGCAGAATGTCTGAGGCGCCGGGCGGTTAGTGTTTCATGTTTTTTACAGTCTGTAGGATCGAAGTCCTGGAGACAACAGAAAGGTTTATATGGCGGAGCTCGGTATAGAGCGCTGGTGTTGGGTGACCGCCGCACTGACCATGTCTTAACAATCTTTCGGCTTTGTATGTGGACAGCCTTTGTGAAATGAATGGGCATTGGGTATCTTTTTTTTCGATTACATTATTTAACAGATCATTACGGTGAAGGTCAGTTACTTTCAGTGAAGAATGCAAGCGACCTCCACGGGTTCTGATTGGACGCAATTAATTTAAATCCTTAATAGACAGCTGAGGCTCCTCATCATTGGTCAAACCACATAAGAACAACAATTCAATTAAAACTCTACCTTTTTGTGGTCTGGCACATAACGCCATTATAGTTTTAGTATAGTGACCAAAAAAACGATTTAATCATCTATAATTGAATTTGTAGTTATCACGTTTAAAGAGAAAGTCCTTTTTGAACTGTGAAGAGAGAGATATATATTTTTTCAAGAAGCAAAAGCACTGGTTAGACCCATTCCCGCCCTCACTGCTCCCTAATTTATATATGGAATACATTTAAATACACAGATGCACAGATGAGGCTCAATTGAACCAACTAATACTCCAGAAAATCTTACTGGTAATGGTTTTGCAAAGAAGAGGGACTGTACTGAATATTAGAAAAATACTTACTGTACTTGACATGATACCATAGAGGCATATTGTTAAAAATATGCATTCTTATAAACATGAAATACAATTGAAGTTGCTGTCGCCTTGTCTGTCAGATTGTTACTAAGATACAGCACAAGACTTGACTTGGGTTGTTTCTAAAATACCTTATTATTGTTTTCTCTTAAAATCCTTGTTCCGCTAAAAAGGATTGTGTTCAATTAAACTCTTGGAAATAGAGGAGAGCTTTTTTTGCAAACATCCTATTATTCACCACACTGCGTTTATGAGCACTTTTCACTTTCAAAGTCCAGAGCACATAGTTTTTCTGCACTGGGGCCAAACCAAAGAAAATGTGACTACTGAGCGTTCACTAAACTTCATATTGAGTGTTACATTTGTTCCATTTTGCAACAAACTGTAATTGCCCTGGTGCACGTCTGCATTCTTTGACAGCTTCACAATCTATTGTAAACAATTTGTTCAGCATTCCGACGAGATAACAATCTTGAAAATGTTCCCTTTGTAATCCAATCATCTTTATAACCAGCTGAAGAAAAAACAACAACAATAATTCATTCCCACTGATTAGACCTGAGTGTTTACCTAACCGTGATCCCTGCACGCCAACAGAACAAACTACGAATACAAAAGTCATCTTCCTCTCGCCCTGCAGCTTCCTTTGCTTTTCTCCTCTAAATTGCTGACGATCTGCAGCATTTGTCTTCCAAAGAGAAAGAGAAACTCTGCGAGCGAATGTAGGCAATTATCTTTTCAGTGTGTATTACATTGTGTATTGATTGGGGAAGAGATGGGAGGGCAATGGCGCTGTTGTAGAGAAGACACATGCAATCGCGCACACACAACATGCATTCGCACACACACACACACACACACACACACACACAGGCGTACACCAGTGGAGAATGGAGGTGATAAGAGGGGCGATCATTTGGGATATTATCGTCGTGGTTCTATCCTGCGGCGGATACGAGACAGGACTCTTAAGCATCTGTTGTTAGAGACGGGACTTTATATACTGTGGCACCCCAGAGTGGTTGCCGTGGGCACACTCTGAAGGACCGTTCTGGATGAATTCTTAGTGTGTTAAGAATGGGTATTCCAATTCAGCAACAGAGAACTGTCAGACGTCTGAAGCTAAGTAGGGCAGGGCCTGGTTATTACTGTGATGGGAGACCGCTGGGGACACTAGGTGCCTTTGTGGGGTAGCTGTGGATGTAAAGTAACAAACTGTTGGTGTGTCCTTAGGCAAGACATTTCACCCACATGGCCTAGAAAGAGATTGGAGAATGCATGGTTGGTGGGGCTGGGAGGGGATGACGGCACACACTAGTTGCCTCGCTTCTGTCAGTGTGCGCTGGGGCAGCTGTGACGAGTAGTAGTAGTGCATCCCCACCATGTATGGAGTGAAAGAATAATGAAATGTGGAGTGTCCAAAAAAGCGCTATATAATTTTATTATTATGAATTTAGCATAATTATTACCCTGTGGGACTGTTTTAAAGGTCTTTGAACCCGGCGGCCTAAAGCCCAACGCGGCAAATGTATGCATTTTTATTTTGTTAGAGGTCTACCTAGGGTACCGGAGGGAATTTGGACAGAGCTCTATTTACAGCTGTTGATCTCCAGAGCTGATGACGTAGCACACATTCCTGCTTCCTGTTTATGTGAACAGAGGAGTGGGTTACACACAACACTATGTATGTTATTTGATTTTATGGACTTATAATTGACTCCATCAAGTTTAGGTAGGAACGAGAAGCACGTTTATTGTGAAAATAGATCAGGGTGTGAATGGATCAGGCCTTGGGCGCGAGCAGCCTGTATTTGTGGAGTTTGCATGTTCTCCCTGTGTTTGAGTATGTTCCCTCCGTTGCTCTGGTTTCCTCCATTACTAAAAACAAGTACAATAGTTTGGACGACAATGAATGGCCAGAAATTGTGACACAATATAAAAAGCGCTTTTTAGGTCACACACCTTGGTCTATGAAATGCACTAAATAAATAAAGATTTCTTACTTATACTTTCTTACAACTTTGCAAAGTATGAAACTGCATGTTCTGTGTATTTTTGGACATATTGAGATGAATAATATTGACTTGAATAACAATACCAACAATTATTGGAATTGTGCTTTACAAACATGTTAGATTCTCTAATCCAGGGAAAACAACACACCTGACCACACACACACACACAAAGAAAATTACGTAAATGTCACAACACCCTTATGAACTGGTGCACCAACCCTCCAACTGCACATCAAAACACATCGAGTACACAACAGCAACACATGCAGGCATTATCATTATTGTATAGGAGCTCGCAGAGTAGGGCACATTTGCATAAAATCCCACCAAACAAATTAAAAATGTAAATTCACTCTAATCTGCCCATGACAGCAGTGTTTAAAAGCATACACATATTTCAAAGCAGTGTGTGCGCAATAAATTACCGTCATTAATGAACAGACCACTCTTCATTCAAGCATCTTTAGTTTGATACATATTCATGATCCATTATCTGCATCTACATCCTCGATCAGCCTCAACGTCCTCCCAAAAGGATTGCATCTCTCTTGATTAGACTACATTAACTTAACAGGGTCTTAAAAACATCTTAACAAGTAATAACCTTAAATTTTCCCCATCTTATTTGTGCACCATAGGCCCAGAGTCTTACCTGCCTGGACTGGACGCTGGCTGGAGAATAGAGGGGTGCACGATTACAGCCTTTATCCTCGGACCCTGGGACTATTTTTGGGAGACAAAGCTTTGCGACGGTGTCATTTTCTGTCAGGGCGCTAATCGAACTTCTCTATTAGTACACCGGAGCGGCCCTGCAATATTCATGCGTGGGTGTTCTCCTTCAAATTGCATTTCAAATAATAGAAAAAGACATGGTAGTCTTTGCAATTAGAGAGGGGCCGATTCACTGCCACCTATTATGGTAATGAACTTTTGTGATGCGTTAGTTGGGTGTTTTGGTATTCAGGGATTCATTTGTCGTGAAACAATTGTTCAAAAAGGAAAAATACACAGGTCCCTCTCAAAAACGCGGTTCTGCAGATTTTTTTGTTGCTTATCATTCGCTGCGTGTATACTCCAACAACATCACATAACCACTAGTATACCATGCCAGTTAACTCTGCTTAAAGTCAGAAAATGTTTGTGTCTTGTGTGCACCACAGTGATTGTCCAGAGAACTAACGCGGTCTTCCCGTAGCCCTAAGTCCTGCTCCAGCTATGCACGGCTTTTGACAGCTGCAGCAGCGCTCAGACCAGTGGGGGCGGGTCCCGGCTCAAAAGGGTCCGTGAGCATGTGCGTGTACTGGGTAAAAGAATTTCAATCCAATCCAAACCACTTTAATTTCATAGCACATTTTCATAAAACAGTAACACAAGACTAATTAAAACCAATCAAAATAGGATACATACAATTATCCAAGGAATTCTTATATCGCCTTTTTCTTGAAAACTGTTTTAAAGC